CAGCGTCGACGACGGGACACGCGGCGGAGCGGAGAGGTGCAATGCACAGCGGGGGCTCCACAGTGGTGATGGAGGCGCCAGGCTCTGGTAGCACCGGCGATGTCGACGAGCGGCGCGAAATGTCAGCGAGCGCCAATGACGAGCCTGCGAGTACCACTGGAGCGTGTGGCAGCGCCCCAGCATGACTGTGAGCGACGCTCCGCCGGGCGCACGGTCACCCCCCAGATGTTTTTGCAAGCGCTGACCGTACAATGCGGTTTCTGCGGAGTTGCCGGGCGGCGGCCGCCTTCAGCCATCATGGAACGTCAGCCCCACGACGCGGCTGGTCACCTACCAGCCGGCACTGCCGTGGTGCACGAGGGGGCAGCCTCTGCGGCCTCCCTCGGCGCACCTGGCGAGTTCTAGTCTGACAGTAGGATGCGCCCCACACTTAAGTGAAGCTCTGCGGTCCACTGGCATATATAGGAACATCAAAATATAAACTGAGTTCAAGGCAGCCGGGCCACCCCAAGCAGAGCGAGCAACAACCCAGGAAGGGCCAGAAGCGAGGTGCGGTTATCGAAGCGCCCCTCAGCGCCGACCACGGCGCGGGGTCCACGCGGCCATTTCAAGCAGAGGTCAAACGAGGCGACGTGCAACTAACAGCAAGACCTCTGCGAGAATATGCGCGTGAGATACTAGGGGCTACTCGACTACTTCTTGGCCAGGAACAGGGCGCCCCTCCCTTTGCCCTTGCCCTTGACCCCAAAGGCTATCTTAGAGACTTCCTTGGCGTACTTGGATCTGGGGCCGTGGTCCTCGCCAACCGTGAGGCCCAACTCGCGCAGGAGGCTGAAGGCCTGGAAGATGCCCCACATCTCCAGGAACAGGGGCGCGCGATTGGCTGCAAAGATCCACTTGCAATAGGCTGTGTCTTCGATGCCGTCGGGGTCCTCCGTGCGCACGGCGAAGCACCGCGCGGCCGCGATTGGGGCCCGCTCCGCCGAGCCGCCCACGTGCTTGAGCCACGAGAGCGCCTTATCGGCGGCCGCGCGCGCCTCGGCCCCTTGCTCGCCCTCCACGCGCGCGAGCCCGGCCTCCCTGTCTTTCTCCATGTGGTTCGAAAGCCGGAACATCAGGGAGTTGAGCATCGCCGTCGGTTTCTTCCCGTAAGGGTGGCCTTTGTAGTCCTCGCCCGCCTCGTACGCGGCCTTGCGCGCGGTGGTTCCGGCCTCCTGGTACCGCTCTACCATGACCGCCATCTCCGCCATCAGAGGGTGCTCCACGGGCCCGGTCAGCACCACGTTTCGTCTCGCATCTTCTGGGCCCTCTCGTCGTCCAGGGAAATCGTCAACCTCGATAGAGCCTCCAGCAGCCGCAGCTCCTTGGCCCGATTGCCCTTCGGATGCGGCACCCGGTCGCCCTCCCCGTCGTCCTCGTCCTCGTCCACGCGCTTGGCCTTCCCCGCGTCCTTGCCCTTGGCCTTTTCGGAGCCCTTCCGGTCCTTCTGCCCTGGGAAGTCGGGGACCTGCTGCCTGCCGGCCGCGGCCGCGGCCGCGCCCCCTCCCTCGATCTTGGCCGTCTTGCGCGGCGGGGACGAGATCGCCTCGAACATGACCACGTCCGAAGCTGGCGCGAGCGGCAGGTGCGTCGGGGGGTGCCAGACCCAGGCTCGAGCCGAGATCAACGCGGCGGGCAGCGCTGTCAAGAGCATCGGGGGCAGCCGGAACAGGGGCCACTGGGCACGCGTGCGGAGCGCTAGCGGGCCTTACAGGTGCAGCAGCCCCAGCCTTGCATCTGGACCGGAAGTGTCGAATGAGGGTATCGCGACGTGTAAACGACTTGTGGCACTGCGGACACTGGAGCTGGCCGAGAGGAACGGACTCGACCAACTTATGCTTCCGGGCGAGATGGATACTGAGCCCCCGGGGACCGCGACACAGCACGCCGCACTCAGGACACGGCGTATGGGGCTCCGGAGGGTCCTCGACCAAAGTAGAAGCAAACGCGAGCACGACATTGATGGAGTCGATCGGGATCCGAGCCAGCCACTCCAGCCAGGACACAGTAAGCTGATCCAACCCTCGATCCACACCAAGCCCCTGAGCAAGCCCGCGGAGAGCATCGTCCCCGCGATCGTGCACCAACTGCAGATCCGATAATACAATGCGTTGCCGCACCGTCATCTGGCCCTCGACCCGCCTCCCCTCGAACTCGAACCTCCCGAAGAAAGCGGCCCTGACAGCGACCGTGGGGTCGTACTCTAGGGTACCGAAGAGGGGGTTGTTATCATCGTCACGGAAAACGGGACTAACCACTTTGCGAATCCACTGCAGCCGCCTGAGTCTCAAGGAGGACTCGACCGTGGGGACATTGCATTTTTCACGCACTGTTTCAGATCGCACACGGGTGAGGTGCGCGGGCAAGCGTGCAAGGTGCCGAAGGCACCTGGTCTGGAACCTTTCCAAACGTAATAATGCAGCAGTGCTCCAGAACTTAGCCTCAAGAGCGTACATCAGTATAGAGCGGACAAGTGCTACCCACAGCGCCACCTTCGCCTGCAAGTCGAAGGCGTGGCACTTCCAGAAACGAGCAGAAAGGCGGTGGTGTGCTGTGGATGCGGACTTCACCCTGGCCTTGGCCTCCACCGTCGGCGTCCCAGAAATCGCAGTGCGGGAGCCGAGGTACTTCGCGTGTTCACGGACAGTGATGCGCACGCCCTCGACTTGCACAAACAGCTGGCCTTTCTTGACCTTCCTGTTAAAGGCCTTCGCGCCAGCACCAAAGCACCGGGCAGTAACCTCCAGCTTGGAATAATTGACCACGTAACGTTGCTCAACCAAGACCTGCGCGATCAGGGTGAGGAATGCATCCACGCAGGCGAAGTCGGGGAACAATTCCATGGCGCTCAAGTCGTCCATGAAGACGGTCTCTCCGACTTTGATGTCCACGCAATCCGAGCTCAGCCCTAAGAAGTTGTCAAGCTGCGGACTCAGCTTGGCCACGAACTGGTAGTTGTCCTCGCCCCTCGCGCCCTGGATGAGCCGCAAAGAGACGTCATACAATATAACGAAACATATGGGCCCCTCCACCGACCCTTGACGCACGCCCTGGTGGACCGAGAGGCGCCGCACCACGCGGCCTGTGCGAGTATCCTTCAACAAGATGTAAGTGCCGTTGTGGGCCTCCTCCAGTAGTAGGCGGAGACGCACGCGATCAGACATAGAAGCAAGTGTGTCCCAGAGCATTTCACGGTCGACATTGTCGAACGCCTTGCCTAGGTCAAAGAGCGCCTGCACCAATATCCAGCGAGACCGGGCATGGCTACGGCGCTTGTTTGGTGTTCATGGCGTTCTGTTCTTCTCCTTTTTGTGGCTGGTCCAGGTTTGGGAGCCACGTGGGGCCGATTCCCCCCCGGCCTGCCTTCCGCCAACCTTCTTGGGCTCGGAAGCTACTCACCGAGCGGCCGGCCGGGCTCCGCGACAGACGGCCCAGGCCGACCTGGGGTTGCACTGACGCGGGTTTTACAGTGCGCTCCCGAAGATCACCGAGCGCGTTCCACTACCCGCAAAGTGTCTACTTGCAAACGCCCGGAAATACATATCTGCTACGATGTCATGTATCGTAGATCCCCCGCGGCGGATCCAGGCAGTTTGCGAGTAGTGACTTTGCGAGTAGTGGAACGCGCTTGCCTAGAAGAGACAGGGCGCTGTGTAATTCGGCGGGGGGGCAAAACGGGAGAGGGGAAGAGAAGGGTGCACCTCTCGTGCCCGGAAAGGGGTCTCCAGCGGGGCCCAGAAAAAGGCCCGGAAGGGCCCAGACTGGGTACGAAGGGTGCACGCTGCTCGCCCTCCCCCAGTCGGCAGCGCCAAAAGATCGGAGGAGGAAAAGGTACCGATACCGCTACCCTTCCCTCGTTTCCCCCTTTTGTGGGCCTCGAGGCCCTCGTCGCCACCCTTGGATTCGCTTCGAAATCCTGGTCAGAACACACCCCGGGAGAGGTCCAGGGAGTAGCGGTATCGGTACTTCTTGAATTCGCCAAAAGAGAGGGCCGCAGAGGGCTGCAGTTCGGCAGCAAATCATGGGAGCTTGGTGCACCTTTCTGATTTTGTCTTTAGCGTCGAGTAGCATCTGGGAGTCGATGAGATGGCGCCGATTTCGCGCTGGCTGGCGTCGATTCGGCGTCGAGGAGCGTCGATTCGCGTCGATTCGCGGGAGCCGATAAGTTGGTATGGGAGGCCATCATGATCAAGCAGTGGCGAAGTGTTGGCTGGCCTATGTAGGCCCACACGACAATGTGATAAGAACCAAGCCTTTTGTGGTCTGCACGACATGTTCGTAGAGCAGTCCTGGCCGAGACTGTCTTGTCTCAGAACGCTGTTTGTTGTTAGAAGATCTTTTGGGGTTCTAAGAACATGTCGTGGTAGCCTTGTGGGAGTCGGTTAATGGAGAGGAAGCATGCTGCCAATTACTTCCCAGATGTCTAACACATGTTTCAAACATGTGTTACAGATGCTAATACATGTTTGAACTGTTTAAACACATCTTGAGTTCAATGATGGGATTGTTAGAGTGTCCATTGTCATGGCATCCTTCCCATTGGGCCCATCCTTGGCCGCCCTTGCGGGCCGCGCCCGGCCCGCCAAGTGCGGTACATGGCCTCCCAGGGCCTCTGCATCCTCTGGAACATATACACTACCAGTAGCGGGTTGTTTTTCAATCCCACGACTTTGCAAGGGTCAGGGACGACGTCGGGGCGGTGTGGTGTATACTTGTTTCTCGTCGTTTTCCCAGGGGCACGGCGAAAAAGGTATACACCAGGATCCCGTATACACCAGGATCCGCTTTCCTGTGCGAATTTCAATGCGGGGTCCATTGTCGTGGCATCCACAATGGCAGCCTATAGGAATGGCGGGGGCGCGTGGCCCCTGCTCCACAGGAGCTGCCACCCGAGCGGCCCCCGCGGCGCCCAAGGAGAGAGAGAGAGAGAGAGGGCCGCAGAGCGAGCGCCTCGCGGCCAGGGCTACGCCGAGAACCTGTGGCGGCGCTTCCCCGAGGTGTTCCTGGTGCTGGGGGCCGCCCCCCCGCCCTGCTGGGCGGAGGAGGAGGAGGAAGAGGAGCGAGGAGCGAGGAGGAAGAGGAGGAGGAGGAGGAGGAGGAGGAGGAGGAGCAGCAGGAGAAGGAGGAGGGGGAGGGGGGGGGGAGCAGGAGAAGGAGGAGGGGGAGCGGGGGGAGGAGGAGGAGGAGGAGGAGGAGGAGGAGGAGGAGGAGGAGGAGGAGGAGGAGGAGGAGGAGCGAGGAGCGAGGAGCGAGGAGCGAGGAGCGAGGAGGGCGAGCGCGGAGCGAGGAGCGGAGCGCACATTATCCCCAAGGAGGCTGAGCGAGTAGGGGATGGGAAGAGGCTGCATCTTTTGCACGCTGGGCCCGGGCTTTCGGCCGCCCTCGTCGGCTCGTTCGAGGCCCTCCGTCGTAGGCGCGTCTTTTGAGCAGGGGCCGGCCGTCCCGGCATTTTTAGAGGCCTACCACGAGATTTTCTCAGAACCCACACGTTCTGAAAGCAAAGTCAAAGTTCTTACAACGTAAGCCCGATTCACTAGTATCTTCACCGAGCGCGTTCCACTTCTCGCAAAGTGCCTACTTGCAAACGTCAGAACAAAAAAAACATACGTTTACCTCGATGTAATTTATCGTAGATCTCCCGCGGCGGACCTAGGCCATCTGCGAGTTTTTTTTTGCGAGTAGTGGAATGCGCTTGTCTATATTTTCCAACAAAGAAAAACACAGTCTCAGCAAGGGGGGGCGGGGGGGGGCTCAAGGCAGCGCTTTCGGCCGCCCTCGTCGGCTCCTCGAGGCCCTCCAGCGCAGGCGGTTCAGTGGCGAGGCGTCCTGGCTCGCCCATGGGTCCACCAAGGGCTGTTCTGAGAACCTTTTCTGCACAAAATTGTCTCAGAATATTTCTGAGCGAGATTATCCTGTTTGAGCTCATCGGGCTATGGTGTAATCACATCGTTTCTGTTCCTAGAACATGTTCGGTTCCACGAACAGTTCGTGGTAGGCCTACCGGAATGCTGGGACGGCCGGCCCCTGCTCAACAGTCCCCGAATTCCGCCCGAAAAGTTTGGCCGCTCAGGGTTGGAACTCTGGGGTGCACACCACACATGTTGCGTCCCATCGAACACCCGCCAACGTCTAGGATCTGGACGCCCAAAATGGGCACGGAAAGAATGGGTACAATGCCCAACAGCAGTTCCTGTTCATTCTGAACAGGACTCGCTGTCCGCGCCGCCGCGGCCTGTGTCCATCTGAGACAGAAGGCCGCGTGCCCAACAGCGGCCGCTGTTGGTTTGGGACAACATTTGTTGTTGGGCATTGTACCCATTTTTTCCCTACCCATTTCGGGCGTCCTTAACATGTTGCGTCATCAAACGCCTGCCAACGTCTAGGAGTGGGGTCGTCGTGCTCCCCGTTCTTCCAGCCTCGGGGTGCTCCCCGGCAGCTGCGCCTCGCCGAGAGGCGTCTTGGGGGGCCTCGATGGCCCCGAACGGCCGCCGGAGACCCCAGTTATGACCCGAAAACCAGGCGACGAGTGCCACTGGGGGGATAGGCTCACGGGGGGTGCAACGACCCCCGATCGCCCATTCGTCGTCGCCAGGGGCCCGACCCGCCTAGTAGCGCGCGGGTTCGCTATCGGGCGCCTGTCGCTGATCCATCGGCGATGTATCGCCGATTCCAGGTCGATGTCTCCCCCCGAGCCCGCCCTCCCCCTTTCGACCCCCGAGCGGGCGGAGCTGACAGTCGAGGATTTCTCCATGACCACCGCCTGGGGTATCGATCTTCGGGTACGTCGACAGGCGGTGGATAGGAGTACACGTGGCTTCACAGTCGGCGGCGGTGGACCACGAACCTTCCATAGAAAGTTTCGATACCTTTGGGAGCAGCCTTCGGAGCCTTCGTGGGGCCCTATTGGGCCCCCTTGGGGATTTTGGGACCACTTCTGATGTCACCTTGGAGGACATCAATCAAAAAAAGGCGGCGGCACAAATTAATCTGCATACCCCCGTCGGAATCCGAAAATCCTCTCTTGTAGCCCTCTTGCAACTCTTTTGGGCTTGTATGGAGCCGTTATGTCCCCTTATTGGGGCTCTCTTGAGCGATATTGGAACCATCTGACAGCGTCATAAGGCCATCGGGAGCAAGCAGACGAGAAGCAAACACACACATAGAAAACATGAGTTGGTTGACTAATAACGGCCTCTCGGGGACAATCTCATCAGGCTCGAAGGTCACGTGGAGCCGTCTTGTGGCGGTCGTTGCCTCTTCGAGGTAGATTGAAAGTCATCTCGAGCCATTGTTAGCGCTCTTGTGCCATCTTGGGTGATTTGGGGCCATCTTGGAGCAAAGTGGAGCCATCTTGGACGCTCTAGCCCGTCGGGCCGCCCCCCCTCCCGTCCAGACACAGGAGAGGGCATGGGGCGCGGTGGAGCTCCCAACAGGCACGCCACGCCACAAGCTGTCCCGCTCCCTCCCTCCCGCCCGCCAGCCCTCCGTGCCAGTAGCAGCCAAGACTCGGCCCAGGCACGGGTCGCCATCGCATGGACCTTCACTGCGAACCAACGCTCGCGAGGCGCGTCACGCGTGCCAGGCAGGGCCGCCCACGATCCGATTCGATGCGATCCGGTTCGCCTGCTGGGGCCGCGATTCCGATTCGATGCGATCCGGCTCTATATTCACCGGCATCGGCCAGGGCCAGGTGGAGGCGGGGCGCGGCGATTCGACACCGATCCGACTCGGGACGATTCCCTGGCGATTCGACCCGCTCTCGATGCGATCCAACTTCGCGATCCGATCCAGCGCAGACCTGCCAGGTGCGCCAGGCGCCCCAGGCGCCCAAGCGTGCCAGGCGCGCCTGGCGCGCCAGATGCTCCGCGTGCGCCAGAGTGCGGCACCTGCTCGGGCCGCGCCAGGCGGGCCAGGTGCGCGACGAGCACATCGTGCGCTGGTGGCGTCAGCGCACCCGACGGCACGCATCGGAGAGTTCCACGACCAGACACCCTCGAGTCATGAAGAGATCACGACGGGAGGTTAATCCGCAATTTTCGGCCTGTGGGGGCCTCTACCGGGTCTCGAGACCGTCATAAAACGATTCAGGATAAAAAGCGGTCCCGGAGAATGGGTCCAGACATCTCGGGGTCGACGTCATGAAAAAATCATGACGTCGGGGGTGTGGGCTTCGACCCCCCGACCATCCGTGCGAAAGCCCTCGAACTTTGCGGCGGGATGTTAGCATGGTGTTCGGCGCGTGCGCCTGCAACGAGGTGCGCACCGGCTTCTGAAGGGCATATCGTGGACGCCGCGCGAAGGGCAAAGATGGCCTCACCCCACGATCCTTGTCAAAAAACCACTGCGAGATGCTCGGAAGGGGGCCCGCTCACGATGAATTGCACCCGCCACGTACACTGTCTACATTTTCTTTGACAGGGATGGTCTGTGGGGCGCATGGTACCTCGTTGGCGGCCAGTCGAGCGGGGCAGGGGGTGTTTAAACAGTAAGGAGCAACGGTACGACTGGTTCGTCTCGTATCGACTCGTCGGCGAGCCCGCCGCGGGTTTCAAAGTTGCACGCCACCAGTGGCCCAGAATCGTCCAATATGGAACGATCGGGCGAGCGAAGGTTGAACGATCTACGCGGTGTCAGAAAAAAAACAACGCCAGGGTCGCCACGACGCGAACCTGCCGTAACCCCTCCCCGAAGGCGAAGAAGGGGGTTGGAAGAGCTATCTTGAACCACATGCGGCCAGAGGGCTGGCGGATCCCAGGCCGCGGAAACATCGGGCCGCAGTACATACGGTCACAGGATCGTTGACGCATCGCCAATGCATCGGCGATGAGTCGCGATCCGGAGGCCGGTCTTCTCCATCCCGACGTTCCAGACCCCCTCGAGTCATGAGAGAGTCACGGCGTGAGATGTTCCTATAAGTTCGGCCTTTGGGTGCCCTTACTGGGCCTCGAGACCGTCACAAAACGACGCGGGATGAAAGACCGGTATCGGGGAATGGGTCAAGACCTCGGGGGGTCGACGTTATGTAGAAATCTTGACGTCGGGGTTTGGGTCCCGGCGTCGCCGATGCATCGGCGATGTGGTGCCGTCGCCCGATCCCGCCCAGCGGCCAACAGAAATGAGGGCGGAAGGGACTGGGATGGTGGCCGACACCAGATCTTTTTACGCGTGGCCCGCCTTCGGGTTCGAGGCGCTCGTGGCCCACTCCAACGGCGAGACTCGCCGGCCGCTGAAAGCAGTCCCTGCCCTCGGACAACGTTTGTTGTTGGGCATCTTCCCCTCCGATGCTATGCCCGCGGCGGGCGGTCTCATGTTGGGCCACTGCCCCTCCGGCAGACCGTTCTCAGCAAGGGCTTGCAGCTTGAAAGCAAGCGAGTGCTTCCCGGCCTTTTCCTCCCAGCCATCTCCCTCCTCCTCCTCCTCCTCCTCCTCTTCCTGAGCCCATCAAACTCACTGCTCTCTTGCCAAATCTGAGTGCAGACAAAACGATATCTGGCAGTCAAGTATGTTTTACGTCGGCGCCTCACCAGAATAATGAATCTGTGTCTGTGTGTGAGTGAGTGAGTGAGTGTGTGTGTGTGCGTGTGTGTGTGTGCTTTTTCTCAGCGCGCGTGATCGCGCATCCGCCCATGAATGATACAGTGGAGACCCATGCCAAGAAACACCCTGCTTGCCTCGAGCGTGCCCTTGGTTTCTTGGGTTCCGATAGAGTTGTTTTGCAAGGCGTGACGTTCCAGTACCAGGAATCAATGGAAGTCCTGGGGTCTCAGTGTTGGGTTTCTTGTGGAAGGTTTCTTGTGGATTGGCCTCCACTATAGTACATTGCACAGCGAACCTACTCCTTGCGTGTGGTAACAAGCGCGGGGGGGCCCCCGCCGACGCGGGCCAACGGCAGCCTGTCCGCGCCCGCGGGCCGGGCGTTCGCGGTGGGTGGCGTTGGCCCACTGGGGTCCACGTCGCGAGGCAATGGTTGCCCGCGACGGGGGGTAAAGTTAAAACTGTCGGCGGGGGTGGTGCCCCCCCCAACGCTCATCACCAACGGCAGGGTTCTTCGACCTTGAGCGTGTTTCTTTATTGCTTGGGGCATGACGGGCGTCATGGCCCCCGCCGCCCCCCCCCCCGCCTATGACATAACGCTCCCCCCCAGTGCGCTCTCGGCACTGCCGCCGTGCGCATCGGGATCCGGATCCGCATAGGAATCCGCATAGGAGTCTGTTCCGCAGTCGTCGTCGTCGGTGTCGCTCGTCGCTCGTCGCTCGTCGCTCATCGTCGTCGTGCGGGCGGACGCTGCTGGAGCTTTTTTTGTTGTTGTTTCTCATTCCGGGCCGATGACGGCAATCATTTGGGGGCGGGGCCGATGAAGTCACGTTTCGCGCAGGCGGCGTCAGGGAATGCGTAGGAATGACCGAGGACGGGTGGCAGCAGCATGTATGTGGCGATCTGCACCACAACGCCTGTGTACACCACAGTGCCTGCGTGCACCACAGCGCCTGTGTACACCACACCGCCTGTATGTACACCACAGCAGCTGCGTGCAACACAGCGCCCATAGTGCTTGCTGGCAGTTGCTGCGTGCAACACAGCTGCGTGCAACACAGCTGCTGTGCCACAGTGCTTGCTGGCACCACAGCGCTCGTGTACACCACAGCGTCTGCGTACACCACATCAGCCGTGTGCAACACAGCACCAGTGTACACCACAATGCCTGCGTGCACTACAGCGCCTGTGTACCATGGCGCTTGGGTGCACCACAGTAACCGTGTACAACAGAGCACCACTGTTGGATGTGGAATGGTGGACATAATCGTTATGACAACAATGGATTCCACAGGAAACGAACGGTTGTTTTGAGTTAGGATTTGGGAAATGTATCCTCATGGACGAACGAGCGCCGCTGTAGTCTACGAGTCCTCCCGAGTCCGCCCGCATCATGCTAACCCACCCATCTGCGTCCAGGAGACTCCAGCTAAATTGGCCGTCCGAGGACCAAGTGGACTGATTCAACGGACCATTTTGCGGTGTACGCTGAGATGCGCGCGTGCGCTGTAGCGCCGACCCGCACGACAGGGGGGAATCGGAGGGAGGAGGAGGAGGAGGAGCAGGAGAAAGAGGTGGATGAGGAGGAGGAGGAAGAGGAGGAGGTGGAGGTGGATGAGGAGGGAGGAAAGAAGAACGTCGCACTCTTTTATCAGCACTTCCCTGGCGTGGCGTTTAGCTGTCCGCAGCAGATCCTCACATGCTCCTTCTACTTATCTTATGCACGCAGGCCTTGTGGTATACACCAGCGCTGCGTTGTCCGCGGATGCTGTGGTGTAGACAGGCGCTGATGTGTGTACAGGCGCTGCGGAGCACGCGAGCATTGTGGTGTACACTGGCGCTGTTCTGCACATATTTGTTGCGGTGTACACAATCGCTGTGGTGTACACCGGCGCTGTAGTGTGCGCAAGCACTGTGGTGTACGCAGGCGCTGCTTTGCACACGGCTGTTGCGGTGTACGCAGTCGTTGTGGTGTACACGCGCGCTGTGGTGCACACAGGCATTGTGGTGTACACAGGCACTGTGGGGCAGATCGCTACCTACATGCTGGTCTCGTCGTCATCGTCGCTTGTCGCTCGTCGCTCGTCGCTCATCGTCGTCGCGCGCGCGGGCGCGGCTGTGGTGCCGGTGCCACACGGCGGGGGGGGGTTTAACTCCTACCCCCCCCCGCCCCCCATGACACCCGTCAATGCCGAAAGTAAAGAAACGCGCTCCTTGTCGCAGCTCCACGGAAAGAACAAAGAAGTTTCACGGCATACGCAACAAGCCCATCGAGGCTTTGACGAGTTTGAGCAGGGCCGAGGGGCACGAAGAACGCGCAGTAGGTGGTTGGGTTGCGTATTCGGCCAGGGGAATGGGTCAGGTCGCCAGAGCCCCGCATGTTTGCTTGAGGGATATCCTTTTGAATTCTCTCTGATCGACCAACCAGAGGTACGATGTCGGCCAAGTCACGCTGCAGTCTCATCTCAACGCGCTCTATTTGGATAGTATTTGCGTTTGTCGGCATGCGTACACTGATGTTGCTTACTTTATTTTCCATTGTCTGAGGGCCGTAAGAGCGCAGAAGTATCGTCATGCACCATCTCCTGTCTTTGTCGGCAATTTGGGTGCTACGTGACGCATAGGCATCTGGCATGGAGGACGTGTCCTGGCAGAACGAGGCATCCCATCCGCAGTGAATTCATGTGAAGCAATTTTTTCCATAGGCAGATAGTTTGTAACGAAATGATCTAGACTTGGTAATGGCTGTAGCATGAGAGCAGGCGGAAGCGGTGACGATGTCATGAACACGTGGAATGAATGGGGTGATCGGGCATTGCGCGGCGCAACCCAATGTTGTCGCGACATTGTGAATCTCGACCCCCTGTGCACGGACCCAGTCTGACGTGCCCGCCCGCCCCAAAGTTGTCACATGACTCTGGGATGGGTTCCGCGATCGTCGCAGTATGTCGGCGCGTGAATGTGGCTCGTGGTGCTGATTGAGCTTTTGGGGCATCTCTCTCTCGGTCAGCTGCCATGTCCGGCATCGGCACTTCCACGGCAAGCTCGTTCCACCTGAACGCGTGCGGGCGCATCGACAGCCGCAAGCGTTGCCGTGCGAGCCGCCGCGTGGCCAGGCATACGACGGGCGTGCGGCAGCCAGCCCCCCGCACCGTTTTGGTGCCGTTGCTCCAGCTCGGGGGCCGGAGCCCTCTGTGGCTGCAAGCCTGAGGACGCGGCAGCAAGAATCGGTTGCGGGCGAGGGGCGGGGGGGAGTGGAGGGGCGGGCCTTCTCAGAAGGCTCGGAAGTCCCCCGGCCTGCCGAGCAGTTTTCTAAGCCTTCCCCGAAGACACAAGGAGGCTTCTCAGAAGGCCTCCGGCTTTTTGAGCTGTTCGTCCAAAATCCGCTTGTAGGGAGACACGCCCGACCTAATGCCAGGTATGTGTATTCACGGCCCAGTCCTTTGCCTTCATGGCCCAGCCCTTTCTAACAATTTTTGCCGCGTGCGTTCCCATGCTCCTCGCGTTGTCATTGCCCTCGGCGTTTCTGGGTCTCCGCACCAGGGAAGGGAACCCAGGAAGACCCTCCCTGGCTCCTCGCGACGGTAATCAGTGGTGCCGCTGTGCTCTGCTCCCAGAGAGGGGCGGGGCTGTGGAGCCCTTCTTTTTCCCCCTGCCTGACGGGCAGGTGCCCTGGCCTCCAGCCTAGCGAGCCAAACAAAAAAATCCAGACGGGTGGTGGATTCGCCGTTTGCGGCGTCTGGGGCCCGCTATCCCGGGTGAGAACGACTTCTGCATGGCGCGCTCTGCCCGCGAGCCGCGAGCTGCTTGGCCCGCTCCGCGCCCTTGCTGTAGACGGCGGCGTCCTTGCTTCGCTCGGAGGCCTGGAGGTTGGCACCTTCACCGATAATTGGCGGTGTGCTTCCACCGAGGGAAGATCTCGATCTCGGTGATGGTTATTTATACTCGGGCTTCCTGGGCGACCGAAGGGTTACCACCAACACCAACGTCTAGGATCACCTTCCCCGTTAGGTGAGGACGCAGTGGCTTGGAGCCGGCTGGGGGTCAGATGGCCAGGCACTGGTTCCAGCGAGCAGAAGGGAGGGGTGGGGGGGTGGGGGGCCGAGATCCCAGGTTTTGGGTTCAGGAAGGTATTTTGCCTTTTTCGGCCTCCGGGGACCGTTTTCGGGACCCTGGACCGTCAACGACGGATCCACGGTCAAAGCGTGCACCAGACGGACCCCGTGATGGGTGCGGATTTTGGGCGGATTTGGCGCCATCCCCCCTCCTCGACAGATCTTCTCGGGGCCCATCCAGCTCAGGCCCCCCTTAGCCGACTCCAAGCCTCGCAGCTTTCTCGGGGGTGCGGCGAGGACGCGGGGTGGATAGTCCAAGCTGTGCCGAAGCGCAGCCTCGGAGCAGAAGGCGCAGGGCTCTCTCGCAGCGGAGCCTGGACGGCTGCCCGGAGTGCTCGAGCGAGAGCGCGCTGTCTTGGTCGCTGATGCCGGGACACTCCGCTCTCTGTGCTCGTTTGGGCGAGGAGACGAGACGGGAGCGACGGTGCCTTAGGCCTCTCGAATCAAAACAGATCCAGACGATCGGTTCTCGAAGTTTGCGGCACCTGGAGGCCGTAGTCGGAGCGAGGCAAGGGACCGAGGGACACCGACGACGAGCCTGGAGCGACGGGGGTTCTGAGGCGCGCCGGCTCCAAGGAGCTGTTCTTGCTCCCCGCGCGAGCCGCCCCGCTCCGCATGCGGCGATCACCGCGAGGGTTGCTGAGGGGACAGGGGTGATGGAGTCGGAGAAGAGATCACGGCGTGAACATGAAGTGTCAGAGTTCCGCGCGGATTTCTCGGATCTGCGCTGGAACCCCCAGGCGGAACTTCTGGCGCCGCCCCTGGCGCGCGCCGCACGCCAGGGAGGGGGTTCAGCGCCGATCCAAGAAACCATGAGTGGGCTACATGTGCCCATATCTCCGCTAAGCGGGCTCCACCCACTTAGACCAGATTTGTACCCCCCTGAACCACTCAGGTCACCTGCAATCCGCTTGTCAGCTAGGTCAGGCCAGGGATAACCTCACCTGAGCCCCCAACAACTGCGTAGGCCCATCCTGTCGCCCTGCGCGTGTTCTCCGCGGGCGATTTGTGTGCACCGTGCCGCGCTGGCCTCTCCCGAGACGTCGTCGATCTTCGACCCAGGCATGGTGCGCAGTTGTTCGGCCCTCGGGGCCGACAAGCTATGCACCGTGCCGCGCTGCAGCGGGGCCCGAGGGAGTCCGAGCACGGTACGGCGCTTGCCCGCGATGCGGGCCGCCAGAATTGGCCGTGTGATCGCCTCGCGCCGCAGCACCTCGGGGTCCCCGTCGGCGTCGAGCTTCGCATTGAACAGCTCGCGGAGCCTGGCTGCCTCCCTCCGGGCCTCGGCCAGCTCGCGCGTCAGCCGCTGCACGGGCCCAGGGGAATGGCAAGACGTTGCATGGTGTGTGTAGATTCCCGCTGTTGCTCGAAGCCCGCACCATGGAATGGCGCGAAAAAGACTAGCATTAAGTGGAGCACTCCAGAAGTGGCCAACACGAGTGCACAAGCAATTTGGCGCGTGGAGACGTGAGCAGATTTGTTCTTGACTGGACAAGCTTCACCACCATCGTTCAGAACACCTGCGGAGAGAAACAAGGGGGCGGTATTGGGAGGGGGGCACATAACACGGCGTGATCCTATACTGATTCCGAAACGCACATTCGAGGGCAGAACATGCACTCAGACATGATAGGTTAGTGTTCGATGCGGACTTATACTGGTTTGGACTAGTCGACTAATCTCAGACTTTGCGGGGGCACTCAGGCGATCGTGGCGAGACCTTGTGGTCCCTCATGCTCTTCGGGGTCTTCGCTCTTCTCCGCGTTGCGTTGCCGTTTCGCTCGGGCTGCAGCTCCAGCGATTGTCACGCTTTTGTGGGAGAGGGAGGCCGTCCACCACCGCATCATCGAGACGACCTCCTGGAAGGCACCGCATTCCGCCGGGAACGCGCATCCGAAGGGAACGAGATGTCGGTCGCACGTATACCGGGGAAGCGTAAGATCGGCGTCACCCCAGCATACTTATACGATATGCGCGTCGCCCACCCCCAGGGGCGACGCGCGCACTGAGAAATCTTCCAGCATATGCGTCGTGGCGGTCGCTTTCTGGCCACACCGTTCGGGAAACGATATATCATCAGAAAATTCGGGTTTGCCTACGTTTTTTGGCGAACGCGTCATGGATCTTGACAGTCCAGTGTTCGTCGGAGGTTTGCAGCGGGGGTTCGCGTCGAATTTCAGACTGGGCCTCGTCTTTTTAATGATGGCCCCGTCAGACCAAGCCGAGTCCCCCGAACTCGAGTCTTACGTCTCCCCGAGTATGGGTCAATGTTGTGCGTTGCTATGTGGGCAAGCGGGATATCCCACCCAGTGTTCCACCCCCTTCTCCATAATTTTCCTACCCCGCTCCTCGGAAGAATTGCGCTCATCGCTGCGAAGCGGTACGACGGCACGAGCAACTTATGATTGATAGCAGGAAGTTGCGAATAGCAGGTAAGTCAGTCACCGAGAGATGCACAGTGTTCCGTCTGTCAGACAACGACTATGCCGTGGGGTGGGGTGGGGGCTAGCCAGGGGGCCCGGGCTTATCTGACCATCGCTAGCAGCACCGACCGAGCCAAAACCAAACGGGGGGAGGCAACGATGTAAACCTGGATCCGATTTGCCATGCCGCACAGGCCACACCCTTTCGGTGGTGAGGAGGTTGGGGGTTGGCATCACAGTCGATGTGCATTGGACGCATAATTCAACTCGCGTGTTGACAAGCATCACCATCAACATATCTGTGGATCCACCCATTTACCGACCGGGACAACGAGCGAGACAACCATTGGGACAACCATGTTGTATATAATCGTGTATATTCTTATTGGTATCATTATCGATCGATCTCACTATTTACCGATCGGTAGCCTCTTGGGCCGTCTTGGGAGCTCTTCGGCCGTCTGGACGCCCTCTTGGAGCGTCTTGGGCCGTCTTGGAGCGATCATGTGGGCCTCTTGAGCCGTCTTGTACGCTGTTGAGACCAAAAATCCGAAGATGTTCAAATTACACGCTTTCCTAAAGGACTTACATATTCGTGCTTATTCAGGCCTTCTCGGGGGTCGTCCTGGAGCCCAATTGGGACGTCTTTGAGCCCTCTTTGCAGTCTTACGGCTATATTGGTCGTCTTCGAGGACTCTTGTGCATGTTAGAACCCTGCTTGAGCAGGCGTATATCGATTCGTCGGCATTGGGGGGCCACAGAGTGTAGAAATGGAGGCTCCAGAGGCCTCTGGCGAGCGTTGATGAGCTCGGAGAGCCCCCCCGCGCCCACCCCTCTAATCGGATTTCAGACTTCATGGGACGGGAAAGGGAGAGGGGGACAACCAATCATCTCACACGCCTCTGAACTCCGTGCAAGCGGGAATCGGTGGATCTCAGTCTGTCGGGACCCCGGCCCGTGGGAGCCCAGGGGCGAGGGACTGGGAAAGCACAGCGTTTTGATCTGGCTTGCCCATTTGCTAAGGGCGGGAACTCGTGCAGCCTGACCTCGCACACTCGATTTGCGCCGCAGCGCGGCAGAGGCAACCCGCGCGCGCGCAGGCGGTCCGGGAAACGGACAGCGCAAACTAACCGGCGGCAGCAGGAGGAGGGGAAGACAGACGAGAGCGGCCGCGGAGCGGGAGGGAGGGGGGGAGGCCCCTCACAAGGCGAGGTGCGCAACCGCGGAGCGGCCAGGGCGGCCAGCCAGTGTTGCACAGGTGTCATGAACGAAACGGAACGAGTTCTCATTTAGGGCCTCTCGCGTTCAACTCGGGTCTCACCCCCCCCCCACCTCCGACATTTGTGCTGCTGTCTCCTCGTCCTCCTCCTCCTCCTCCTCCTCCTCCTCCTCCTCCTCCTCTCCCTCCCTCCTCCTCCTCCTCCTCCTCCTCCTCCCCTCCTGCTCCTCCTCCTCCTCCTCCTCCTCCTCCTCCTCCCTCTTCTCCTCCTCTCTCCTCCTCCTCCTCCTCCTCCTCCTCCTCCTCCTTCCTCTTCTTCTCCTCCTAATCCTCCTCTTCCTCCTCCTTCATTATTGTCTCTTCTCAATAACTTCACCCTGTCGCACCCTGAGGCGGGTCGACAGGGCGACCGGGCGTTTCGCCCAAGATTTCTTCACCTTTTTATGACCCTGAAGCTTAAACATTGGCATCGGCTTCGCAGATGGAGGGCGGGCCGTTTCCAAAATGTAGATATCGCTTTAGCGCCTCGCGCATTCGTTTCAACATTTGCCAGAGCTTCAAGGATTGAGGGCGGGTCGTTTTCAAATGTTGTTTTCGCTTGAGCGCCGCGCACATTCGTTGTAACAACTCAAGCGTTTCACGGTTTGAGGGCGGGCCGTTTTCACAATGTGGTTCTCGCCTAAGCGCCGCGCACATTCGTTGCAACAGATTTTAAGAGTGTCACGGTTCGACCGCGTGTTTTCAAAATGTGGTTCTCGCTTGAGTGCCGCGCGCAGTCGTCTCACAAATTTGCAATAGTTTGAATGATTGAGGGCGGGTGGTTTTCAACATATGGTTCTCGCCTTAGCGCCGTGCGCATTCGTTTTAAACATTGTGCAAGAGCTTCACGGATTGAGGGCGGTTCCTTTTCATATTGCGGTTCTAGCTTTAGTGCCGCGCACATTCTTTTCACACGTATGCAAGAGTTTTTCGGATTCCCGTGGTCAACGTCAGACATGGTGTATAGGAAAGATTCAGGATTAGGAGGGCGCAACAGATAGTTTGATTCGTGGTGTTGAAGTCCCAGGAATGAAATCTGGCGCGGTTCAGGATTGCCAAGGCGCAACAGTCAGGTTGATCCGTGGTGTTGGAGTCCCGAAAGTTATGTTATGGCACGCTTCAGGATCTTCAAACGGATGTCTTCCAACGAGGCAGTTTGCCTATGGAAATGACCCGCTAATGATCCGGGCCTATGACGGAGGTTGCAGAGAAGGTTTCTTCCAACATCGTTGATGACGCTTGGGTTTAAATTGGTCCTCATCCTCCTCCTTCTCCCTCTCCTCCTCCTCCTCCTCCTCCTCCTCCTCCTCCTCCTCCTCCTCCTCTTCCTTCTCCTCCTCCTCTTCCTCCTCCTTCGTTATTTGTTTCACTTTTTCACTCAGATATGTGTAGGCACACACGTATTTATATAGAACTAACTAACGAACTGACTAGCTAACGAACTTCCGTGTCGCGCCCTGAGGCCGGTCGAACCAGGGGGTTGGGCGTTTCGCTTAAGACGTTCTCGCCATCTCCTATGTCCCTGAAACTCGAATACTGGTTCACAGATGGAGGTCGGGCCGCTTTCGAGATGTGGCTCTCGCCTGCCCACCGCGCACATTCGTTTTTAAGTGATTGCAAGAACCTCACGGATGGAGGGCGGGCCTTTCTTCAAACTGTGGGCTTTCTTCAGATTGCGGGCCTTCTTCAGATTGTGGGCCTTCTTCAAATTGTGGGCCTTCTTCAGATGGTGGGCCTTCTTCGAATTGCGGGCCTTCTTCGAATTGTCGGCTCATTCCTTGGGGGGCAGGCCTTCTTCAAGTTGTGGTGCTCGCATCCGCGCCATGCACCCCCGTCTTACGCTGCGCAAGGCCTGCACGGGTGGAGGGCGGGCGGCTTTCGACTCGTGGCCCTCAACTCATCCGGAGGGGGAACAAAAACACACACAGACGCAACTCGTCGTCGATCCCCCAGAAAAAGAGATGGGAGACCATGGGACGTGGGGGGGAAGACACACACACCCAGGACCTATGGGAAAATATGGGGGACTCCTTATATTCGTGTGTATGTATTTGTGTGTTCTGGGGCCCCTTCAATTCAGTCCAGCGCCGCGCACGTTCGTTGTACAACTGTGCAGGGGATTCACGGATGGAGGGCGCGTTTTCAAAATGAGGTTTTCGCTTTCGTGCGACGTACTTTCGTCCTACAGAACTGCAGGACGTCACTGATCGAGGGCAGATCGTTTTCAAAATGTGGTTTTCGTTGTAGCGCCAGGGTTGTCAGGGCGCAGCAGCTGCGTTGATTTGCAGCGTCGAAGTCCCAGGATTGGTGTTCTCTCACGGTTCTGGATCGCCAAAACAAAACAGTCAAGTTGATTCGTGGCGTTGGAGTCCCGAGAATGGTGTTTTGGTGCGCTTCAGGGTCCTCCAACGATTTTCTCCCAACGGGAGAGGGAGCTTGGAGGGAGGGTGTATTCCAACATCGTTGACGAGCCTTGGGTTTGCACTGGTCTTCCTCTTGCTCCTCCTTCACCTCCTCCTCCTGCTCCTCCTCCTCCTCCTCCTCTTCCATTCGTTTTCTTTGGGAATAAGCCCTTCCTGTCGCACCCCGAGGCCGGTCGAAGGGGCGGTCTGGGCGTTTAACGTTTCCTTTGAGATTTCTCCACCGTTTACGATCTTCAAGTTTCAGAACTTGCAACAGCTTCACTGATGGAGGGCGGGCCGATTCCAAAAATTGGTTCTCGCCGGGGCACTTCGCGCATTCGTTTGAAATTGACAGGATTTCACGGATTGAGGGCGGGCCGTTTTCAAAATGCGGTTATCGTTGAAAAGCCGCGCGTATCCGATGACATAAAGTTGTACGAGGGTCACGGATTGAGGGTGGTTTTTTCCAACTTGTGGTTTTCGCATTAGCGCCGCGCGCATTCGTTTCAAATCTATGCACGAGTTTCACGGATTGATGGCGGTTGGTTTTCAACACGCGGTTCTAGCCCTAGCGCCGCGCACATTCGTTCTAAAACATTACAAGAGTTTCACGGAGTGAAGGCGGTTCCTTTTCAACATGCCGTTCTTGCCGTAGGTCCGCGCACCTTCGCTTTACAAAATACAAGAGTTTTATTGGTTCGCGTGTGACTAACGTACTCGAACTTGTGTTTCGGAGCGGTTCAGGACTGCCGCGGCGCAGCAGTTTAGTTTATTCGTGGAGTT